TTTGGGGTCTGGTTTTCACTGTGTTCCCGTGGTTTCTTTTCACCGTTTATCCTTGTTTACAGCTTCAATTGTTCACAGTTTTTCAGTCTATTTTAACCGTTGGTCTGTGTTTTCAGTCTCGATTTTCACCGTTTGTGTCTTGTTTACAGCTTCTATTTTTCAGTTTTCTGCCTCTGATTCTCACGGTTTTCCCGACTCAATTTGAACCGTTTCCCCGTGTTTTCGAGCACTATTTTCACCCTTTCCCCACCTCTATTTCTCTCAGTTTTTCTCGTGTTTCCACCTATATGTATCACATCCCCCTTGTTTTCTATCTCTATTCCCCCCTTTTTCCTTGTTTTCTTTTGTATTCCTCACAGTTTCCCGTGTTTTCAGCCTCCGCCCGTTAGCCTCCAAACCGAGAACACAAACAGCTCCAATAAATTCCTCAACAGCTGCGGAAAGAAACGACCGTTAAAACAGCTCAACTTCACGGGACCGAAGAGAAACACCGGAGCGTGGATTTACTGTTAATTTAACGGTACAAATAATCAGTTAAAGGTTTTTTAATCTGGTCGCAGCAGCTGCTTTGTTTTGACTGGGCCCGATGTGAAGCGAATGCTAACAGAGCATAGCAGTTCCGGTTAGGGTTTTCAAAATATGTATGTTTATGTATGTTTATCATGTACTTGAGTAAAAGTAGAAGTACTCAGATCTTGTACACCATTTACCTCTGAACTGTAGTGGAGTAGAAGTACACAGTAGCACTAAGTTATGATTTTAAGAAAATGTCCCACTAAACAAATTAAAGTCATTCTTTTATTTTGAAGTTCAGCGCTCTTTATTCCCGTTCTGAGTGTATTTGGCGCCTCTAGCGGCCCGGCAGAGGGACTGCAGCTGAACACACAAACAACAGAAACACGCCGGACTTTTACTGTTTTACCAAAGTAAAGACAGAATTAAAATATTCAAAAAATACTCCATTAGAAGTCAAAGCATTCAAACGTGTACTTCAGTAATTTTGGTGATAATAAAAGCTTTAAAAAATGATAAATAATCAACTATAAGTGTATTTGTATATCATGTCCCAGAACATTTTCAATAAAAATAAAAATGTCAATAAACTACAAACAGAAAATAGCGTCTAACGGCTCAACGGGTTGCAGTAATAACTTTTTTAAACAGTTGTAATAAAGGTCACCTATCATGCTATTTTTAAGCAATAGCATAGGTCTCAGATATATAAAAAAATATATTAAAACATGTCTATTAAGGGTTTTGCTCCAAACACCAAACATCCGGTTTCACTATGAGTGGTCGCATTTTCGAGAGCTCCCGCTTTGGCGGTTATTCCTCACGATTGTTTACATATTTCATCCTCCTGACAATATGGATTATGGACTCCTACCCCGCTCCTACCTCAACTCATCAATAAGACAACATCACTTAGAGAAGGAGAGTAATGAAAGCGGGGATAAAATGAACCACAATGACTTTTACCTTCTCAACGGCTGGGAAAGGAAACACCGCGCTTTTGGAAGTGCAAGCATTCATGCATTATTAACTGCAAACCCGACGCGAAAGTACTTACCCCCGTCAGGCAAACTAGACCGAAGAAGTATGATCGTCTTGGTCTTATTGTTAGCGGGAGACATCCATCTGAATCCGGGCCCGGTGCAGACAAGAAGCCAGTCCTGCAGGCTCGAGCAGCTAGCATCTCAATTAGCATCACAATTAGCATCTCTTCCGCTGCAACAACAACTACGCGACGACAACAGAGACCGTGGAGACAGCGGAGACCAAGGAATAAACGGAGACTTCGAGATTCCCCCGGGGACGCCTCGGCAGACAGACACGCATGAGGCAGTGACGAGAGGAAGAGAACCGAGATCCGAGGGAACAAATATCCGCCATGTTGTTAGCCACCCTGCTAGCATATCAACGGCTAAAGCTACAACGGAGCCTCCCTCCCGAGTTTCATAAAAGTCAGTCAATGCTTTCCAAAAGCACGAGCAGTGAACTCCAGGCCCACGTGACTGAACTCAAAATTGAAAGAAACAGACTAAGAAATGACGTAAGCTCCATGATCAAAACTGCCAAAAAGAATTTCATCAATGTCAAAACTGAGGAAAACAAAAATAAACCCTGTGAACTTTGGAAATTACTCAATAACCAGCTTGGCTGCAGTAAAAAACTCAAAACGAGATTTTCGAACTTAAACATAAAGACAGATAACAGGCTCATCACAGACAAACTGGATGTGGCCAAGTACTTGAACATTTTTTTCACAAACATAGCACACACTCTTGTAAATAAATTACCCTCCCACTCAGGGCTTTTTGGAGTAGATCACATCATGACCTACTACAAAAACCTAGGGGTACGCAAAGATGATTTCAGTCTAGCAAGGGTAACAACAGCAGAGGTACTCATTAAACTGAGCGCCCTCCAACCTAACAAGGCCACTGGCCACGACAATATCTCCTCCAAATTCCTCAGAGACACAGCAACCGCCATCTCACCAGTCATAGCTCACATAATTAACCTCTCCATAAAACAGGGGAAAGTACCCAAAGACTTCAAAATTGCAAGAGTAACCCCCCTGCACAAAAAGGGCAGCAAATTGGACCCAGGCAACTACCGCCCTGTTTCTATACTTACCTCCATCTCGAAAGTCATGGAAAAAATAGTATATGAACAGGTCGAAAAGTACCTCGCGGAAAAGAAACTAATCTATGAATTTCAATCTGGCTTTAGAACATCCCACTCCACTGACACATGCCTTCTTTATTTGAGCGACCACATCAAACAAGAGGTGGACGAGGGCAAGTACTGCGGCATGGTGATGCTGGACCTACAAAAGGCTTTCGACACGTCAATCACCCCATTCTGATTGACAAGCTAAAAGCAATTGGTTTTGATAAACTATCGGTGAGCTGGATGCAATCCTACCTGGAGGGGAGAGAACAGATGGTGGAGGTAAACGGTACTCTGTCCCCCCCCCCTCCCAGTGAGCTGTGGTGTTCCACAAGGAAGCATATTAGGTCCGTTTACTGTTCCTAATTTATGCAAACGACATGTCATCAGCATGTGACTGCAACTTGTTCCTGTTCGCGGACGACTCAGCCCTGCTGGTCTCTGACAGGAACAGGTTGCAGGTTGAAAAAACCCTCAGCTCCGAGCTCGGCAGAATCTGCACCTGGCTCGCCGATAATAAATTATCATTACACCTGGGTAAAACAGAGTCCATTCTCTTCGGTTCGAAACATAATCTCAGCAAATCCGACGACTTCTCAGTTGCAGTGGGCGACATTATTGTCACAAGTAAGAAGGAAATTACATACCTAGGATCTATTCTTGAGGCAAACCTCTCCTGTGACAAAATGGCATCCAATGTAATAAAAAAAGTCAATCAAAGAACTAGATTCCTATACCGGATCTCCTCTCTGGTAAACAAAAACACCCTGAAAACTATGGCAGGAGCACTCATTCAAGGGTACTATGACTATGCTTGCACGTCATGGTACCATAGCACCTCCAAGGCGCTAAAAATAAAACTTCAAACATCGCAAAATAAACTGGTCAGACTACTGCTTGACCTTTCATCTAGAACCCACCTCACCTCTGCCCACTTTGACAACCTAGGATGGCTTAGAGTAGACGACAGAGTACAGCTACTTGCAATGGGCCTGGTCTACAAGATCCACTACACCTCTATGGTACCCATGTACATGTCAAAATTCTTCCCAAAGGTCAAGGAATACCATGATCATAACACCAGAGGGAGCTCCACAAATCATGTGAAACCCAGATTTGGCACAAAAAAGGGGGAATACACGTTTAGCAATTATGCCACATCAAGGTGGAACGCTCTTCCCACAACTGTAAAGGAAAGTAAAACTATACTTACCTTCAAAACCTCTCTTAAAGAGCACCTTCGGGGGAGAGCATTGCAAAACTGGCCCCGGTAATGGTACAAATCTCAACCTGTCGTTCAATGGACAGCTTCCCCCCCCCCCATCTATGTATATACTCGCATTTTAGACTCTGTTACTAACTGTATATCTGTAGACTTGGTATGTCTTAAATGTCCGGTTAGGATGTATTAGAACGAAATCTAAAATGTAAATTGTAAATAAGCCATCTGTATGTCAAATATGTCTTAAATGACATGATGAATTGGAAATGGGGGACCCTGATGTAAACAAGACGAAAGTCTTTCTCTGGTCTGCATCCCCTTAACAATTGTATGTTTTGAGCTGTACTGTACCCAATATACAAGCTGTTAATAAACTTTTCAATCAATCAATCAATCATTCTAGCCATGCCTCATATCCCTCTATTTCACTTCCTGTTTCAAAAGTGCTGATTTGGGAATAAAGCTTTAAAGAGGAGGGGTCTGAGCTCATGCGGGACCCGGCAGCTACCGTCTAAACTAAATGCTGCCGTGATGAAACGCCATATCATGGATTATCAAGGATTCTCTCTGAAACAGTCTGGAGCTCAAAGGCTTTCTCTCTTGCCGGTTATACCACAAGGTGAGTTCCTTTTTACTTCCTGCTTCTTCACACACATGCTCTCCAGTACAGGTTAGCTCTGAGTGTTAGCGATGCTAATGTAAACACCGACCATATTACGTCCAAAACAGTCAGGCATTGTTTCTGATAGCAACTTTCTGATTGGGCCGTGGGTCCACATTTCAGATATTACGTCGTATCAGACGCACATCTGGATCAGCTCCGTTGTTCCCCGTTTTTAGAGATTTGGGTACGGAGGAAAAGAGAGAGGGGTTTATTTTCTGCGTGAGTTCCCGACACACCGGGGACACATAGATGTAGAAAAGACATCACAAAGTGCATTTTGCATGATAGGAGACCTTTAACTTCAAATGCGCATGTTTTAAACTCAACGTGGCTCTCTGCATCTTTATTGTAGTGTAACATCTTGTATTATAATATAAAACGTAGATGTGTTAATCCAGTGAACATCACCCGCCATGTGGTTTAGTGAAATAAATCAGATGAAATCAAGTATTAATTTAATGCAGAAACATGTTTGTGAATCACACCTGCACAGAGGGACACATATATAAAACAACAACACACACTTTACAAGATAAAACAAACATCTCCTGATATTATATAAAAGCATCTGTACATAAATAAAGTAACGGTCAGAGTTTCTATCCGAAGCTTCCCTCTGGAGGGCGGTACAGTTTGGGGAAAGTGAGCAGCTGAACGCCGCTGAAGGCGAACTTCCTGCTGCCGATGTTCTTCTGAACGTTCTCCATCCTGCAGCCGGCCCTGAACACACCACGGTATCATCAATACAAGAATAAAAGCATGAATATATCATTATAATTCCCAGATTTAGAGATCATTTTATTCTTGAGTGAGTCGACAAATCGCAGCAGCTAGATAAAAATGTCTGTAAATAGTGAAATTACATAAAACAGAGAAAAGCAGCATATTTGATTGAATACAAACAGCATTTTAAAAGGTATTTTGCACCAAAAATGTAACTTTAATTAATAATTTAATGTCAAATATATTTATAGATAGAGATGATAGGTTATTTTAATGTTGAGCGTGTAACGTGAGTCGACTCGGTTTATGATGTCATGTCCCAAAGATATTCACTTAAAAATAATATATACAAAAATGTTAATAATTGAGTTTTTGGGAGAAGGGGTTAAATCAGTGTAAACTTCTTCCCACCCCGTTTCGGATGTGTAATTAGGTATCATTATTTTATGTATTATTGTTTTACACGTTCAAAATAAATCAAATCAAACTGAAAGAAAAAGCACTTTCTGACTTTCTCTATGATCTCTTGTAAATGATCGTGAACAAACAGTATCTGCAGATGGACTGATGGTTGCAGCTGTTTGTGGGGGGTCTACTGGTATTTATCGAGCATGAGGACGAGCCAGAGAACCAGGAAGTTAAAGAAAAGGACAGAATCGATAAAAGAGGACCATAGTTTGAAATAGAAGAGGATGAGAATTGTCACTTGAACGACTGTTGGTTTGAGAACATATGTTAGATCGACTGGTGGTTTGGTCGATCCTCCTGGTGTTTAATAAATCTGACTCTGAGGGGGGTCTACTGGTATTTGTTGAGCATGAGCACGAGGCTGAAGATGAGCCAGAGGACCAGCAGGTGAGAGGAAACCAGCAGGAAGGCCACTGGGTACAGGTGCCTTCTGGGAGGCTTAGGGGCCATACAGGCCTGAGAGCCGGGGTCTGAGGGGGGGGAAACAGCCCAGAGTCTGCCCCCCAAAACACCCGGGACCTGGAGGAGCAGCAGGGGCAGGAGGAGGAGGAGGAGGAGGAGGAGGAGGAGGAGGAGGAAAAATGGAGGAAAAAGTGGAAAAAAGAGGAAAAAATGGAGGAAAATAAGATGGAAAAATATAGTTAAACTGAAAATGTTAAACAATATTAAAAAAGACAGAGTAAATTAAAGGAGGAGATAATAAAGTGGGGATAACGATAAGAAAAGAATGGAAAGAAACCCAAAACAAATGGGTATAAAAGAAATAAAGGTTGAAGGGAAAATATTCTGCAGCAGAAAAATTAAAGAGAACGGACAGAGGAGAAAATAAAGAAAAACAGAAGCAAAAATGTGAGTGTTTCATAGTGATGTCACTGTGTCACGGTGTGTGTGTACCTCCTCATGCAGTGCAGCGCGGTGCTGAAGTGTGTGTTGCAGAGTGTGTGTCTCTCTCTCAGTAACACACACTGCTCCAGAGTCACTGACATCGCCGTGCGGTCCTTCGCACTTTTACAGCTGGTGAAACGCACACCTCGCACAGAACGACACACCTAGACACACACACACACACACACACACACACACACACACACACACACACACACACAAACACATTAACTCCTGAGTTTTATTTCTTTATCTCATCCTAAATTTGCTTCGTTTCTCACCGCCGCAGCGATCCAGAGAACCTCCACGTTTTTTCTCTTCTTTAATTCCACGCAGCGTTCAAGAGACGACAACAAGTCCGACAGAGACTGAACACCAGCTGTCAGGGAAATTCAGAAAGAAAAACGAATATGGAAAATTCAGAAAAATATCAGAAAATCAAGAAGAATTTACAAAAAATCAGAAAAGAAATCAGAAAATTCAGAAAAAAAAACGGAAACTCCGAAAAATCAAACAAAGATTCTGAGAATTTTAGTAACTCGAGAAAAATAACAAATTAAGGAAAACTCAGAATCATTTAAAAAAATCTGAGAAATTCAGAAAAAATCTGAAATACTCAGAATCAGGACATTCTGAACAATTCTGGAAAATGTGCATCATGTCAAAATAAAAATAATAAATAAAAATGTTATAATAATCTCGCTCAGAGTGTTACCCGTCACTGGCAGCGTGTCTCTCAGCGTGTTGCAGTAAACTCTCAGGCGCTCGCAGCTCTGCTGGTTCACTCTCTCCTGCAGAGAGCTGTCCCCAAACCTACAACCACAAACACTCTTTTAAGTTTATATTCATTAAAATATTATTATCTTGTTTTTTAATGTGTGTATTAAAGTGTGTGTACCTCTCAGCCAGACTCTGCTGCTGGTTTATTCCGATGTTAAAGAGGACCGGATGAACCCGGATCAAACGTCCGTCTCTCACTTCCTGCGGCAACGAGCGAAACGTCTCCGGAGGCAACGGCACCTCGACCACCAGACTGACCCTGAGAGGAAGAAACACTGTGTGAGAGAGTGTGTGTGTGTGGGTGTGTGTGTGTGTGTGTGTGTGTGTGTGTGTGTGTGTGTGTGTGTGTGTGTGTGTGACCCACCATTCTCCTCTCAGTGTTGGCAGCAGATCTTCTGGTTCTTCGCTCTTTGCTTCGATGATGGTGAACGTCACTCGGCTCAGATCGGAAACACACACCTCCATGTCCTCCAGCATGCCCACCTCCTCACCTATCACACACACACACACACACACACACACACACACACACATACACACTCGTTAGACTGCAGACAGTGTGTGTGTGTGTGTGTGTGTGTGTGTGTGTGTGTGTGTGTGTGTGTGTACCATAGGTGCTGAGCAGAGCTTCAAACTGCACCAGGAGTCCGGCAGAGATCAGCTGCTGCAGGAAGTCCTGATCCTGCAGAGCTGAGAACAAACGCAACACGAAACCACACACCAAGGCCGAGAGCTGGAGGGAAGATGAGAGATACACAATATAAAAAATAAGATGTAAAAAATCAAGATAATATGGGATCAAATATGATATGATAATATGATTTCATAAAATGAAAAAAAAAAAAAAATATGATAAAAAAATAGATAATATAAATATTCAATATATATATATATGAATATTTAATTCAATAAATAGGAAAAAAACTGATAAAATATAATAAACATAAATAAACAATAAAAAAGTAAAAAATCTGAGATAAGATTAAAAAATAAAACAAAATAAATGATCCAAGAAAAAACATAAAATAGGAACAAATTAAATAAGAAAATTAGTGGGAAAAATATTAGTTTTAAAATCACAAAATTTACGAGAAAAAACTTGAATATTATAAATTATTACAACGTTTTTATGCACAGTTTTTGCCGGTGGAAATGAGATCATAGAGAAAGGTACAACTTATTTAAACAATACAAGTGTACAAAACAAATAATAGTACACTAAAAATAAAAAGCATAAATCTGTATAATTATTCTACACTTCATTAGCTCCTCCTCTCACCGCCTGGCTGAACGCGGCGTGGCGTCGCTGCACGATGTTTGTCGTTCCCTCAGAAACCGTCATGGCCGCCGCCGCCTGCATCATCACGAACGTCATGGCGACGCGAGCCTTAAGCTCCGCCTCCCTCACGCAGTCCCTCAGAGTCACCACCAGGGGGAGCAGCTGCTCCTGCCAGGAGGCTGAAGGAGTTCAATATACAAAAGCAATTATCATTACAGAAGTATGAGACATACAGAGTCCAATGAGAGGTTTACAATATGTTCGCTTTGCTAAATACCTTATAACAGTTAGACCATTTCTCTAAATACACTTCCATCTTGAGTTGTAGTTTCGCTATTATCCATACAGTTTACAACCTTAAGTCTTGCTTCTGGTCTTGATTCGGTCTCACCCTGTCTTGGTCTTGGTCTCAACCTCTTAAAGTCTTGACCTCTTAAAGTCTTGGTCTTGATTCGGTCTCGCCCTGCCTTGGTCTTGGTCTTGGCATGGTCTCGAACTCTTAAAGTCTTGGTCTTGACTTGGTCTCAAACTCTTAAAGTCTTGGTCTTGGTACACTCTGGTATTGGTCTTGGCATGGTCTCAAACTGTTAAAGTATTGGTCTTGGCATGGTCTCGAACTCTTAAAGTCTTGGTCTTGACTTGGTCTCAAACTCTTAAAGTCTTGGTCTTGGTACACTCTGGTCTTGGCATGGTCTCAAACTCTTAAAGTCTTGGCATGGTCTCGAACTCTTAAAGTCTTGGTCTTGAATTGGTCTCAAACTATTAAAGTATTGGTCTTGACTTGGTCTCGAACTCTTAAAGTCTTGGTCTTGGCATGGTATCGAACTCTTAAAGTCTTGGTCTCGAACTCTTAAAGTCTTGGTCTTGACTTGGTCTCGAACTCTTAAAGTCTTGGTCTTGACTTTGGTTTTGGCCTCTTAAAGTCTTGGTCTTGGTTTTGACTTGGTCTTGGCATGGTCTCGAACTCTTAAAGTCTTGGTCTTGACTTTGGTTTTGGCCTCTTAAAGTCTTGGTCTTGGTTTTGACTTGGTCTTGGCATGGTCTCGAACTCTTAAAGTCTTGGTCTTGACTTTGGTTTTGGCCTCTTAAAGTCTTGGTCTTGGTTAAGGATGTCTTGACTCCAACACTACCTAAAATTGTTTTAAATGTTGCCAGTTTTGAATGATTTTAATAGTTTGTTTTACTTCGCATATTGACTGGCTAATGTGCCATTTTATTTGTGTTTTACAGCTGTATTTGTCTGCCTGTCATGTCTGTGTTTTATCTGTTGTAACTTTGTACATGCTGCCCTTCTTGGCCAGGTCGCTCTTGGAAAATAGATTTGAATCTCAATGAGTCTTTTACCTGGTTAAATAAAGGATATATACTACTGAGCATAGTGAGGTACATTCCCTCAAATCAACCTTTGTGGTTCATATAATAAATCCTGGGCTAGACTCCTCATGAAGCAACACACGATCAATTCTAGTCGTTTTCAGTATATAAAATATCGTCCCACCAGTGTTCTGGGAGTGATCTGATTCTTGGTTCTCTGATGATGTCACTTCCTCTTTCCCCAGCAGCCGGTCACCCATGGCGATGATGCAGTTGAGGCTCATGCCGACATTCGCCCACGCCCTGTCCTACACACACACACACACACACACACACACACACACACACACACACACACACACACACACACACACACACACACACACACACACACACACACACACACACACACACACACACACACACACACAACATTTGATTAAATTAGAACATAAATGCATATTTTCTCACCATTCATTTATTTATTTGTGAAAACAGTAATTAAATTAACTCTCACACTCTTACCCATTCCTCCTCGTCGTAATCTGCCTCCTGTTGCCAGGCGTCCTGTTGCCCCGGTGTCAACGCCCCCTCCTGATTGGCTGTTGAGTTTTCACATAGGTTGCTATGGTCGTGGCTCGCTATCAAGGCGCTCTTCACCAGCTCGTCTTTTAAAGCGTGGACAAACTGCTTCGTCTGTATGAGAAAAAAGTTTGTAAAAGTCCAAAATAATTACTGTATTTTCTCTAAAATTATAAAATTAGATCTGCCAGAAAACTATCTGTACATTTTACAAAAAACATCACAATTAAAAACAAAATGTGCAATTCCCTGAGATAAAATATACACATTTAAAAGAAATAAATAAAAAGTAAAACAATCTGAAACTAAATGTTTTTTTTTTGTATATACAAATAAATCCTAAATAATAATTCTACATTTTATTAAACATCTATTTATAAATGTTTCCTCCTCACTTGCTGCGTGAGGCTGTGGAGCACCGGCTGCAGTCGGGCGTTGTTTTGCTTCAGAGAGACGGAGAGCAGCTCCTCAGCGAGTCCGAAAATGAGAGGCTGCAGCTGGGCAACGTTAGCCAGAAGCTCCCTGGCTCTGGAGCTCTCCTCCTGGGAGTAAGACACAACGCTGGAAAGAACAAAATAAGTAATATTAAATGTTGTTTTAAAGGACGTTACCTGCGATAACATAATATAAAAATACATTTTAAATAAAAAGAAATAGGGGGCATTAAAAGGCATACATTTAAGAAGAAAAACTCACGGATAAAAATTCTAAATATGTTATAAATATAGAAAAAAGTATTAAATAATAGCCACTAATATATTCAACATATATTAAATAATAATTAAGTAAAATTAGCAGATATATTTTTTTAAATAAATAACAAAAAAAGCAAAACCACACATTTAAATAAAAATAAACGCAAAATAACGTGTATATTCTCTGAGATAATAAAAGTCAAATTTGTGAGAAAATATGTAGATTTCTCTGAGATTTAACTCACCTGTCTCTGAGGTGTGTGTGTTTGCTGAGCAGCTTCTTCAATCCTCCATGTTTGAAACCCTGGTGATGATCAGCTGGAGCTCCAAAGGTGATCACTTCATACCAAACACCTCCTGAAACAGAGACACCAGTAAACTAAATATATCTGCTGATGTTCAGGTGTATATCAGTATGTAGTGTCTCTACTTTAAAGAGTCCTCTCCTGCTGATGTTCAGGTGTATATCAGTATGTAGAGTCTCTCCTTTAAAGAGTCCTCTCCTGCTGATGTTCAGGTGTATATCAGTATGTAGTGTCTCTACTTTAAAGAGTCCTCTACTGCTGATGTTCAGGTGTATATCAGTAGGTAGTGTCTCTACTTTAAAGAGTCCTCTCCTGCTGATGTTCAGGTGTATATCAGTATGTAGTGTCTCTACTTTAAAGAGTCCTCTACTGCTGATGTTCAGGTGTATATCAGTAGGTAGTGTCTCTACTTTAAAGAGTCCTCTCCTGCTGATGTTCAGGTGTATATCAGTATGTAGTGTCTCTACTTTAAAGAGTCCTCTCCTGCTGATGTTCAGGTGTATATCAGTATGTAGTGTCTCTACTTTAAAGAGTCCTCTCCTGCTGATGTTCAGGTGTATATCAGTATGTAGTGTCTCTACTTTAAAGAGTCCTCTCCTGCTGATGTTCAGGTGTATATCAGTATGTAGTGTCTCTACTTTAAAGAGTCCTCTCCTGCTGCTGTTCAGGTGAATATCAGTATGTAGTGTCTCTACTTTAAAGAGTCCTCTCCTGCTGATGTTCAGGTGTATATCAGTATGTAGTGTCTCTACTTTAAAGAGTCCTCTCCTGCTGATGTTCAGGTGTATGTAGTGTCTCTACTTTAAAGAGTCCTCTCCTGCTGATGTTCAGGTGTATATCAGTATGTATTGTCTCTACTTTAAAGAGTCCTCAGGTGTATATCATACCTGTGCTGTCGGGCTCGGTGACCTCCATCCTCTGAGCGTGGAGGTTGGTGGGAACAAACTGAAGCTGTCGGTCTGATTTACTGCAGCTCGACTTAAAACTGGACGACGCTGATTATAAAACAAAAAAAAAAACATTTAGGACTAACACACTGAGATCATACTCCCCCATCCAGGGGATTTTAAACATAAGTATATCTTATCTTAAGAAACAATACCACAGAATATAATTTGATGGCGTGGCCCTTTAAATCTCACCTGAGATGTTGTCTAGGTCAGCGAGTGTTTCCTGGTAACAGCCAATCAGGTGGTTGCAGTGGCAGATGACATCATAGCGTAGCCTGTCCATGTGGGGTGAAAGGTCACCGAGCTCCATCACCTCCTGCACCCTGAGGAAGAGAAAACAAGTGTTTAAACGAGACGACTAAACGTCATCACGGCCATCATTAGCCACCTTTAGCTTAGCGGTGGTGACGTGAAGTCATGTGACCGTGCTGTAGTTCCTTTATAGCTCAACATTAGCCGCCTTTAGATTAGCGGAGGCGACGTGAAGTCATGTGACCGTGCTGTAGTTCCTTTATAGCCCAACATTAGCCAGCTTTAGCTTAGCGGTGGTGACGTGAAGTCATGTGACCGTGCTGTAGTTCCTTTATAGCCCAACATTAGCCTCCTTTAGCTTAGCGGTGGTGACGTGAAGTCATGTGACCGTGCTGTAGTTCCTTTATAGCCCAACATTAGCCACCTTTAGCTTAGCGGTGGTGACGTGAAGTCATGTGACCGTGCTGTAGTTCCTTTATAGCCCAACATTAGCCACCTTTAGCTTAGTGGTGGTGACGTGAAGTCATGTGACCATAGTGTAGTTCCGTAATAGCCCAACATTAGTCACCTTTAGCTTAGCGGTGGTGACGTGAAGCCATGTGACCGTGCTGTAGTTCCTTTATAGCCCAACATTAGCCGCCTTTAGATTAGCGGAGGCGACGTGAAGTCATGTGACCGTGCTGTAGTTCCTTTATAGCCCAACATTAGCCTCCTTTAGCTTAGCGGTGGTGACGTGAAGTCATGTGACCGTGCTGTAGTTCCTTTATAGCCCAACATTAGCCACCTTTAGCTTAGCGGTGGTGACGTGAAGTCATGTGACCATAGTGTAGTTCCGTAATAGCCCAACATTAGTCACCTTTAGCTTAGCGGTGGTGACGTGAAGTCATGTGACCGTGCTGTAGTTCCTTTATAGCTCAACATTAGCCGCCTTTAGCTTAGCGATGGTGACGTGAAGTCATGTGACCGTGCTGTAGTTCCTTTATAGCCTAACATTAGCCACCTTTAGCTTAGCGATGGTGGCGTGAAGTCATGTGACTGTGCTGTAGTTCCTTTATAGCCCAACATTAGCCACCTTTAGCTTAGCGGTGGTGACGTGAAGTCATAGACCGTAGTGTAGTTCCGTAATAGCCCAACATTAGCCACCTTTAGCTTAGCGGTGGTGACGTGACCGTGCTATAGTTCCTTAATAGCCCAACATTAGCCACCTTTAGCATATCGGTGGTGACGTGAAGTCATGTGACCGTAATGTAGTTCCTTTATAGCCCAACATTAGCCAACTTTAGCATATCGGTAGAGACGTGAAGTGACCGTGCTGTAGTTCCTTAATAGCCCAACATTAGCCACCTTTAGCATATCGGTGGTGACTGAAGTCATGTGACCGTGCTGTAGTTCCTTTATAGCCCAACATTAGCCAACTTTAGCATATCGGTGGAGACGTGAAGTGACCGTGCTATAGTTCCTTAATAGCCCAACATTAGCCACCTTTAGCATATTGGTGGTGACGTGAAGTCATGTGACCGTGCTGTAGTTCCTTTATAGCCCAACATTAGCCGCCTTTAGCTTAGCGGTGGAGACGTGAAGTGACCGTGCTATAGTTCCTTAATAGCCCAACATTAGCCACCTTTAGCATATCGGTGGTGACTGAAGTCATGTGACTGTGCTGTAGTTCCTTAATAGCCCAACATTAGCCACCTTTAGCATATCGGTGGTGACTGAAGTCATGTGACCGTGCTGTAGTTCCTTAATAGCCCAACATTAGCCACCTTTAGCATATCGGTGGTGACGTGAAGTCATGTGACCGTGCTGTAGTTCCTTAATAGCTCAACATTAGCCGCCTTTAGCTTAGCGGTGGTGACGTGAAGTCATGTGACCGTGCTGTAGTTCATGTATAGCCCAACATTAGCCACCTTTAGCTTAGCGATGGTGGCGTGAAGTCATGTGACCGTGCTGTAGTTCCTTTATAGCCCAACATTAGCCACCTTTAGCTTAGCGGTGGTGACGTGAAGTCATGTGACCGTAGTGTAGTTCCGTAATAGCCCAACATTAGCCACCTTTAGCTTAGCGGTGGTGACGTGAAGTCATGTGACCGTAATGTAGTTCCTTTATAGCCCAACATTAGCCAACTTTAGCATATCGGTGGAGACGTGAAGTGACCGTGCTGTAGTTCCTTAATAGCCCAACATTAGCCACCTTTAGCATATCGGTGGTGACTGAAGTCATGTGACCGTGCTGTAGTTCCTTTATAGCCCAACATTAGCCAACTTTAGCATATCGGTGGAGACGTGAAGTGACCGTGCTGTCGTTCCTTAATAGCCCAACATTAGCCACCTTTAGCTTATCGGTGGTGACTGAAGTCATGTGACCGTGCTATAGTTCCTTAATAGCCCAACATTAGCCACCTTTAGCATATCGGTGGTGACGTGAAGTCATGTGACCGTGCTGTAGTTCCTTTATAGCCCAACATTAGCCGCCTTTAGCTTAGCGGTGGTGACGTGAAGTCATGTGACCGTGCTGTAGTTCGTTAATAGCTCAACATTAGCCGCCTTTAGCTTAGCGGTGGTGACGTGAAGTCATGTGACCATGCTGTAGTTCCTTTATAGCCCAACATTAGCCAACTTTAGTTTAGCGATGGTGGCGTGAAGTCATGTGACCGTGCTGTAGTTCCTTTATAGCCCAACATTAGCCACCTTTAGCTTAGCGGTGGTGACGTGAAGTCATGTGACCGTAGTGTAGTTCCGTAATAGCCCAACATTAGCCACCTTTAGCTTAGCGGTGGTGACGTGACCGTGCTGTAGTTCCTTAATAGCCCAACATTAGCCACCTTTAGCATATCGGTGGTGACGTGAAGTCATGTGACCGTAATGTAGTTCCTTTATAGCCCAACATTAGCCAACTTTAGCATATCGGTGGAGACGTGAAGTGACCGTGCTGTAGTTCCTTAATAGCCCAACATTAGCCATCTTTAGCATATCGGTGGTGACTGAAGTCATGTGACCGTGCTGTAGTTCCTTTATAGCCCAACATTAGCCAACTTTAGCATATCGGTGGAGACGTGAAGTGACCGTGCTGTCGTTCCTTAATAGCCCAACATTAGCCACCTTTAGCTTATCGGTGGTGACTGAAGTCATGTGACCGTGCTATAGTTCCTTAATAGCCCAACATTAGCCACCTTTAGCATATCGGTGGTGACGTGAAGTCATGTGACCGTGCTGTAGTTCCTTTATAGCCCAACATTAGCCGCCTTTAGCTTAGCGGTGGTGACGTGAAGTCATGTGACCGTGCTGCAGTTCCTTAATAGCTCAACATTAGCCGCCTTTAGCTTAGCGGTGGTGACGTGAAGTCATGTGACCGTGCTGTAGTTCCTTTATAGCCCAACATTAGCCAACTTTAGCTTAGCGATGGTGGCGTGAAGTCATGTGACCGTGCTGTAGTTCCTTTATAGCCCAACATTAGCCACCTTTAGCTTAGCGGTGGTGACGTGAAGTCATGTGACCGTAGTGTAGTTCCGTAATAGCCCAACATTAGCCACCTTTAGCTTAGCGGTGGTGACGTGACCGTGCTGTAGTTCCTTAATAGCCCAACATTAGCCACCTTTAGCATATCGGTGGTGACGTGAAGTCATGTGACCGTGCTGTAGTTCCTTTATAGCCCAACATTAGCCGCCTTTAGCTTAGCGGTGGTGACGTGAAGTCATGTGACCGTGCTGCAGTTCCTTAATAGCTCAACATTAGCCGCCTTTAGCTTAGCGGTGGTGACGTGAAGTCATGTGACCGTGCTGTAGTTCCTTTATAGCCCAACATTAGCCAACTTTAGCTTAGCGATGGTGGCGTGAAGTCATGTGACCGTGCTGTAGTTCCTTTATAGCCCAACATTAGCCACCTTTAGCTTAGCGGTGGTGACGTGAAGTCATGTGACCGTAGTGTAGTTCCGTAATAGCCCAACATTAGCCACCTTTAGCTTAGCGGTGGTGACGTGACCGTGCTGTAGTTCCTTAATAGCCCAACATTAGCCACCTTTAGCATATCGGTGGTGACGTGAAGTCATTTGACCGTAATGTAGTTCCTTTATAGCCCAACATTAGCCAACTTTAGCATATCGGTGGAGACGTGAAGTGACCGTGCTGTAGTTCCTTAATAGCCCAACATTAGCCACCTTTAGCATATCGGTGGTGACGTGAAGTCATGTGACCGTAATGTAGTTCCTTTATAGCCCAACATTAGCCAACTTTAGCATATCGGTGGAGACGTGAAGTGACCGTGCTGTCGTTCCTTAATAGCCCAACATTAGCCACCTTTAGCTTATCGGTGGTGACTGAAGTCATGTGACCGTGCTATAGTTCCTTAATAGCCCAACATTAGCCACCTTTAGCATATCGGTGGTGACGTGAAGTCATGTGACCGTGCTGTAGTTCCTTTATAGCCCAACATTAGCCGCCTTTAGCTTAGCGGTGGAGACGTGAAGTCATGTGACCGTGCTGTAGTTCCTTTATAGCCGAACATTAGCCACCTTTAGCTTAGCGGTGGTAACGTGAAGTCATGTGACTGTAGTGTAGTTCCGTAATAGCCCAACATTAGCCACCTTTAGCATATCGGTGGTGACTGAAGTCATGTGACCGTGCTGTAGATCCTTTATAGCCCAACATTAGCCACCTTTAGCATATCGGTGGTGACGTGAAGTCATGTGATCGTGCTGTAGTTCCTTAATAGCCCAACATTAGCCACCTTTAGCTTAGCGGTGGTGACGTGAAGTCATGTGACCGTGCTGTAGTTCCTTTATAGCCCAACATTAGCCACCTTTAGCATATCGGTGGTGACATGAAGTCATGTGACCGACCGTGCTGTAGTTCCTTAATAGCCCAACATTAGCCACCTTTAGCTTAGCGGTGGTGACGTGAAGTCATGTGACCGTGCTGTAGTTCCTTTATCGCCCAACATTGGCCGCCTGTAGCTTAGTTCAGCTTCCTTTATAGCCAATCGTTAGCTTTTTACTTCAGAAATCATAAAGTGGTGTTAATATAATGAGATTATTCTCTGCAATAATCCAGGGAGATGCTGCCTTCAGTGTCCAACTCAGAAATAGGACATCCTTCCACCACTCTACAGGTGAAATACAAACACATACCTGCTTGTATGGCTGCGTATGAGCAGGCTCAGAAGCTTTTTGGGTAACGAGAAAGAAAGCGGCGTCTCGGACATCTGTTCCCGCACCAGCAGCCATCTTTGATCCTCCGTCTGAAACCTGTACACCTTACACACCTGCGAACACAACACTGCACACACACACATGGTATTAAAGCGATAATAAGGCACAGAAGCACACATTGCAAGAATAAAGGCTTTGTTTCTCACCTGCTCTCATCATTGGACTGTTTTCTTTGTCGTGGATGGAGGTGTGAAGACTGTCACACAGCGCAAGACACTGAAATAAAGGAAAATGGAGGAAAAATACTTCACTCTTTCTTATTTGTCTCACTCAGACGACTGAATAGAAACCTCAATGTGACACAAGTACAACTAGAGAGAGAGGAAGGAAATGGAAATACATTTTTCAACATATGACTTCCTTTACCTTGTGATCCGGAGGAGTTTCTTCCTCAATCTGCAGACGGGACACCATCACCTCCCCGACCTCGTTCACACCATCCATCGTCCTGAATTAGAGAGAGGAGGGAAGAAAGAAGGGTAAAGGAAACAAAATAACTAGCAAGACAAAGCTAAGTAGGATCAATAATATGTAGCATAGAAAAGCTTAATAAAAAGCAAGAAGTAACAAGAAACTTCAACTGAAAAAATTGATAACTGGCGGGTCAAATTAGCTAGCAACAAACAAATTAGAAAAGCTAACTAGAGCCAGTACATTTAGAAAGACAAACCTAACTACCTAACTGACCTAAGTACAACTATCTAGCAAGACAAAGCTAACTACCTAACTACAACTAACTAGCAAGACAAAGCTAACTACCTAACTACAACTAACTAGCAAGACAAAGCTAACTACCTAACTACAACTAACTAGCAAGACAAAGCTAACTACAACTAACTAGCAAGACAAAGCTAACTACCTAACTACAACTAACTAGCAAGACAAAGCTAACTACCTAACTACAACTAACTAGCAAGACGAAGCTAACTACCTAACTACAACTAACTAGCAAGACAAAGCTAACTACCTAACTACAACTAACTAGCAAGACAAAGCTAACTACCTAACTACACCTAACTAGCAAGACAAAGCTAACTACCTAACTACAACTAACTAGCAAGACAAAGCTAACTACAACTAACTAGCAAGACAAAGCTAACTACAACTAACTAGCAAGACAACGCTAACTACAACTAACTAGCAAGACAAAGCTAACTACCTAACTACAACTAACTAGCAAGACAAAGCTAACTACCTAACTACAACTAACTAGCAAGACAAAGCTAACTACCTAACTACAACTAACTAGCAAGACAAAGCTAACTACAACTAACTAGCAAGACAAAGCTAACTACCTAACTACAACTAACTAGCAAGACAAAGCTAACTACAACTAACTAGCAAGACAAAGCTAACTACAACTAACTAGAAAGACAAAGCTAACTACCTAACTACAACTAACTAGCAAGACAAAGCTAACTACCTAACTACACCTAACTAGCAAGACAAAGCTAACTACAACTAACTAGCAAGACAAAGCTAACAAGAAACTGATAACATAGGTAAACTAATCTTAATGGAAACTAGCACGATGTAGCTTACCGCAAACAAATAATTGCTAGACAAAGCTAACTACTATATAAACAAAGAAAATAGCTAAACTAATCTTAGTGGAAATTAGATAACGAGCATATGAAGTGCAAAGGACGATAACTAGCAAGATAAAGCTAACAATAACCATACGAGAAAAGCAAACAACTAGTAAACAACAAGATTTGAAATAACCTTGAAGACATAGCTAACCAGAAACCAGCTCAACAAAGATCACTAGAAGCAAGATATCTGTTAAAAGGGATTAAATATATACAGAATATCAAGCTAACAGTAATCTGATGCAAACACTAATCCAAGATAATAACATGTATGCTAAAATAACTTGTGATGTCATTGAAGCTAAATAAGACAAACTATGAATAAACCAGTGAGATGAGCTAACTAGAACCACAACATTCTGCAAGACAAACCTAACAAGAAACCAAATAACCAGCGAAACAAAGATAACTGTCAAGATGAAGGAAATAGATTTAGAAGAGCAAGCTAACAGATCAAAAGAACAGTAGTCTGATGCAAAGAGAATAATCCAAGAGAATAACATGTATGCTGCTAAGCTAACTTGTGATGGAATGAAGACTAGTTAATAAGACAAACTATGAATAAACCAGAGATAAAGCTAGCTAGAAGCACAACATTTAGCAAAACAAACCATACTTGTCACAAAATAAGGTTTGAGATACCTAGAAGACATAGCTAAACAAAGATACATGTCAAGATGAATTAAATAAAGACATATCAAGCTAACAGATACAAATAACTGTAGTCTGATGCCAAGAGACTAATCCAAGATAATAACATGTATGCTAAGCTAACTTTTGATGTCATTAAAGCTAAATAAAAAGACATAAACCAGATTTAAAAGCTAAGCCTGATCCTCTGTTCCAGGTGTAGTATTTAAAACACACCTGCGTTACTCTACCTGTCGTCTGTCACTCTGCAGATGTTGTGATATAAAACAGGAAGTGTTTCTCTACTCTACACGGTGGAGAAACCCTCTCACTTCCTCATCTGGCTACAGGTATCCCAGCAACGGCCAATCAGGTGACAGCACCCTGCACTTCAGTGTGTGTGGTTCAAGGTGCGTGCAGTAAAACTTCGAGAAGACTTTAAGGAAGTTTAAAGTCAAGTTTAGGAAGGAAAGGGGAGTTTAGTGGTAGTTACTGGAGGCTGGTTGCACAAAATACCCTTAAGTTTGATAGTTAAGGCTTAAGTGTTGCACAGAATTCCTTTAAAAGTTTGCTTAGGTTTTCCTTTAAGTCCTATTTAACATTTCTTAAATTAAATGTACTGAAGTCCCACCTGAGGTTTTCTTAAAAATACAATTGGTTGCAAAAACATTACATTAATATTTTACATAAGGTCCCATTTAAGATGTTGGTAAAATAAAACAGTTGCAAAACAAAAGACCCTTAAGTTAAGATTTGCTTCAAGTCTTAGTTAAGGTTTTCTTCACATAAAATTGCTTGCAGGAAACACACTTACAGTAAGTCACAACCTTTGTGTCTTAGTTAAGATTTTAGATTATACATTTTAAAGTAAAATCTGTTGCACAAAACATTCTTAAGTTAAAATGTGCCTTTTTTAGAAGTCTTCCTTTAAGTATTAGTTAAGGTTTTCTTAAATACAATTGCTTGCATAAAACACACTTATGTTGAGGTTAACTTTAAGTCTTAGTTAAGGTTTTTGTAAAATGAAACACAAAAGACCCTTAAGTTAAGATGAACCTATACATTCAGTTATGGTTTCTTAAAATAGAATTGGTTGCATAAGACATACTTAAGTTAAGAGCTCCTTTAAGTCTTATTTAAGGTGTTTACCTGAGATTGAGGGAGACTTGAGGCTCTTTGGGTCGGAGCAGATCTCTGATGTTGAAGGAGGTGAAACCCAGAAAGTTACTCTAAAAGAGAAAGAGAAACAAAGAGTTAATGTTAACAGCAATACTTTACTTATTTTATTACTTTATAAAGGTAATCAATAAGTATAACTTAAGTGGAAGAAATTATAGACACAACTGGAAGGATATTCAATGAAATCACCTTAACGTAGAAACGTCATTCAAACACAAAAACGTGCACTTTTTAACAGCTTTCTACTCATTCACACATTGACGTAGAAACTCCATTCAAACTTTATAATGTTCCAAATCTTTCATACATTATGTGTATAAGATATCTTTAAAATCACACGTGAACTTTAAAAAATATTCAGCCTTGTTCGACGCTTAGTAAAAAGGACGTTTTCAGATTTTAACATTGGTGTGTATTGCGGTTGGAATGTATTCGTAAACATGTGTCTTTGATTTGCTCCAACTTCCACAATTTTTACTCTTCGTACATAATTTCTTGGTTGAACGTAGGATACATTGTCCTCTTTCCAACAGTGTATCTATGGAAGTTATGGGATGTTCACATGCAGAGCTGTGAGCCTCGCAGTAACAGGAGTACCAACTTTTTAGGTCATCAATTCGATAAAAGACATTTCCCTAAATGATATGAAGTTACATAAAGAGCTTAAAGCTTCTTCCTGCAAGAATAATTAATAAATGTCCTGTTTTCTCTGTCTCACACACACACACACACACACACACACACACACACACACACACACACACACACACACACACACACACACACACACACACACACACTTTAAAGAGGATTACCTTGAGGAGTGAAAAGCACTCAAATCACCAAACACACACACTCACGTTAATGACCATCAAACTGGGGTTTAATGAAGGAAAATCACTCATTTAACTTGTTTTTTGGTACATTTTATTAACCCTTAAATGGGCATCGCATATAAATATTTGGGGAAATTAGTTGATTGCTATTTGTGTACAATACACCCATAGTACACTGTTAATATACTCACCCATGGTACACCTTTGATTCACCTGTATCACACCCATGTTACACCTATATTGCACTGTTCATGTTCATACACCCATATTCCCCCAGGTAACAGCACTATAACCCGTGTTACACCTTTATTGCACCCATATGTGACATTTCTGCATTCAAATGTTAAAACGACAAGGATTTTTGACTTGAAACTTACTTTACTTTATTTAGTGTTTGTAGTGTTTTCACTCAGAGGAGAGGAGGAGCCTCTGTGGATGATTCTGATAGGATCACATCCTCCTTTCAAGTGGAGACTTTTTAAGCCTAACGCCTGAAAAGATTGTCAAACTCTGTCGTTTTTAGCAGCTTATATTCATTTGATACATATTTAACCATTTATCCAACAGTTTGATTACATTTGCTTTTATACAATTTGTCTGTCGCCTCATTGGTATTTTTTATTCATAGCTTTTTGCAGGATTTAAATACAATTTACTGCAGAAACAAAAAGGGAAACAAACAGGATATTGAGACTTTAACTCCACACACACGCAACTTGTTGGCACATTTCCTCGGTTGTCGCTGAAGCAACACACACACACACCGTACACACACCATATACACACACACACACACACACACACAGCTAATCTGTTCCATTGAATTCTTCAGCAAAAACAAGGCTTTTAAGATTACACGCTAATCCGTAACAAACCTAGAAACATATACTCATAAGAATAAAAACCACAGTGTGTGTGTGTGTGTATGTGTGTGTGTGTGTGTGTACCTGTCCAGCAGAGGAGCTGTTGTCTCCTGTTGGACAGAGACACTTGGTGCAGGCCATCATGTCGCTCTGCATCCTCAGGATATAAAAATCAAAACTCTCTTTCTTCTTGTTTACTTCCTGTTTACTTCCTGTTTACCTCCTGTTTACTTCCTGTTTACCTCCTGTTTACTTCCTGTTTACCTCGTGTTTACTTCCTGTTCACTTCCTGTTTACCTCCTGTTTACTTCCTGTTTACCTCCTGTTCGCTTCTTCCTTTCTTGTGTTTCAGCTGCGGGTTTTAACGTTGACTTCTTCAGAGCCAAAAAGCAACTTTAACCTGTGCTGCTTCACACGAAGAAATATGAATAAATGAGGCTAGAAAAGTGTTTACATTAACTTTCTTATATTTACTGTATTAATCCCAATTAACTCTTATTATCGACTCTTTTTTACAGTGTGCTATAAACATTAAATTAATAATTACTATTATAATTATTCAGCATTTGTATACACTATTTCTGAATAAGCAGAATTAAATAAAAAAAATTAACTCTCTGATAAGGTTTTTTTCATAACTAAGTAGCGGCAATACCTCCGACCCTGAATGCAACGCTCTGTTTCCCAACTGCCCCTGAATGCACCATTAAATTAAATCTTATTATGAACCTGTCCGCAGCTAAAAGACCACTTATCTCATCCTCCTGCAACACGATGCTTCTGGAAAAGCAGCCTCAATGAAAGAGAGATGAAGAAGAGGAAGAGGAAGAGGAGAGTCCATTAAAAGGGGAATAAAATAGTCCATGAACAGAAAGTCCGTCTTCAGTCGATCCTGAAACTGAAACACAGATCCCTCTTCACCTTTTCCTCGTCCTCTTCATCGTGGACGACGGGATTAAAAGAGCCCCTCGGCATCATGGGAAATATGCAGATTAGAGCCGGTCGGGGTCGAGTTTGGCAGAAAATCTCACTTTCTCTCTACGTCCTCGATTTACCCTCCCTGTGTGTGTGTGTGTGTGTGTGTGTGTGTGTGTGTGTGTGTGTGTGTGTACGATAGTGAGATTAACTGAATTGAGAGTGTGTGTGTGTGTCTGTCTGTGTGTGTCTGTATGTGTGTCTGTGTGTATGTCTGTGTGTATGTGTCTGTATGTGTGTGTGTGTCTGTATGTGTGTCTGTGTGTGTGTATATGTCTGTATGTGTGTGTGTATGTGTGTGTGTGTGTACAACAGTGAGATTAACTGAATTTAGAGTGTGTGTGTGTGTGTGTGTGTGTCTGTGTGTGTATGTGTGTGTGTACGACAGTGAGATTAACTGAATTGAGTGTGTGTGTGCGCTGGAAAGCTACCATCTCTAGTATTACACATATTTTGCTCTAATCCTCTTATACACAAAATGTTTCACACACACACACACACACACACACACACACACACACACACACACACACACATCTGTGTCGACACTATGGAGATGTTTCTCTATTCTATATATACAAAATAATACCTGTATAATAATAGATATGTAATCTGTACAAATAAAACACCTTTAGAGAAATGTGTATTTTAACGTTTCCTCTGGTTCCCTGTGTCTTGAATTGACAAATAAGTGACTTTTTATCGGGTTTTAAGCCACATGTATCCATTTATCTTTTAGATATTGGTGCTGTTCAACTCTATATTTTACCCTAATGAAGGATTTGAGTCATGGGACGTCTCGATCTGAAGTGATCAGAGAAACAGCTTCAGAAAAACACGAATTAAATATAAAGAAATTCATGAATTTAGTGTTTTAACAGTTTCTTCTCACTGTATCTGTGTGTTTTGGTGAGGATGATGGATTGGTAAACACATCTGAATCTGGAGTTATAAGAGGAAGAAACTGAGCTAACGTTAACCCAGATCACAGCCTATCAGGACGTCCTTTTTAAACCACAAGAAACACTGATTTTTAACGAATAACTGCCTTTTTTGTATTTTTTAAACGTTTAAATCGGTGGGTTTGTTGGTTTTGTCTAGAGAATACATCTGTGGCTAATTCAGCTTTTGTAAGGGAGAAGCAGAAAACTACAACTCCCATGATCCTCTGCTTCCAATGTGTCTTTGATTATTGATATTGAGCGCCCCCTAGTGGCAGAAAGGTATATATAGAAAAGGTAAAACCCAGTATAAGTATAACATTTTACTATTTGATGTCTTAGAGTCATGGTTTTCATTTTGATGTGGATATAGAGTTAAAAAAAAAAAAATATCCATCTGTACAACTCAAAAGTGTAAATAAAGTAGAATCCGTCTGACCTTTCTCATGTCGTCCAATCAGCAGCCTCCTTTCTTTCTGGAAGTTTCTGGATGTTCCTTCTGTCCGTCATCTTCATCCATGTCTACGCAGAAATATATTAACATATGTACAACATGTTAGTTTTGTAGCATGTGGAAAGTACAGTGGCCGGCAGGTGCAAACGCGGAACAACGGCCAAAACGCATCCATAAGCAGGAAACAGCTGCAAATCCTGAAATGAAAAACAAACAAACCCCGAAAACAAACGCAACAGAAAAACACTGCAAAGTAAAAAAACACATACAAACCCCAAAACACACAGTGCTCCAGGCCTCTAGGGGGCGCGCTACTTGGAACAGATTGATGTCTGACCAGACATAGAAAGAACGAACGAGAGTGATGCAAATTGAAGGGGTAGCATGACGGCCCGTCTACACTACAGGCATCAAAACATCTTGAAGATGGGCGTGTCTGAGGCTTGGTGATTTCTTACGCCCAAGGCGACCAACAACCAATCAGGAATCTCCCGCCCCCGGCATACAAAGCAATAGCAATGTTAAAATGAAGTAAACTCGATATAAAATCCCCAAACAGGCGAAAACCTACCAGTTTCATCCACTGTCTCTGCCACCTCCCTCCATGCCTCGCTCCTCCGGTTTGTATCCCGGTAGATGAACAGAGGCTGATCATACAGCACCGGGTAATTCACTACCGCTAGAATGAATTTTCCCTCCATGTTTTTGAATATGAGGAAATGACCTGCGTAGTCTCTCCCAGCATACACGCGGTTTGATTGGCTAGCGCTTGTACTGTCAGATTTGCATACGCGGGATTTGATTGGCTGATGCCAAGCATCGAGCCTCAAAAGTTGAACATTGTTCAACTTTTGATGCCGATAGATGCTCGTGATGCTTGCAAAGCAGTTCGGCGAAGTTTAAAAATCTTCTACGTCACCCCATTCAAATGAATGGGCGAAGCGTTGAAAGCATTTTTCGATGCCTGTAGTGAGGCTCGGGTCTCACGGCCCCAGGAAGTGCGCCGGAGTCTGATGAGAATATTCGTGCTGGTCAAACGGCGGTACTACACTTCCTTTAGGTTGCTGGGCCCGGAAACACTTTTTCCCATTGACTTACATGGGGAAAGAGTGGTCTGTAACTCGTTGGATAATTTTTTTTAAACTAAATAAACTACCCAGTATGAACGTTTGTATAGCCCTTATTAAAAACATTCGTTCCTCAAGTTGTAAAAATGTGCTAATAACGTTATTCTGAGAGTTATTTCCCTCTGCATTATGAACGCGCATCTAACCCACGGGACCGCGCCGCCCGGCACGTTCATGTTACGTGTTCAGCACTACATGAGTTTCTCTTTACCCATGGATGCACAATAACAACGGACCATATCGCCTTAATGCCAGCCCACGGAGCTCTAATAATGGATATATTGCACATGTTTGCTGTAATTCATCATTTGTAAAATATTATACTACATGGGCTGTATGATTAAATCTTGTACCGTAAATGTTGTATTAAATAAAGTTAATATTACCGACGTAGATTAACGTTCCTGTAGCTTCTTATTGCACTTGCAATTGTTTTAGTTACTTGTGGGCTAACATGAATAATCACAGTTACTATCCTTTTACTCCATCACATTTCAAAAATAAATAGGCTATTGTTATTTTAACTCCACCACAGTAATCCATCATCAGCTTCACTTTTTAGATAAAGTTTTAACTCACAATTGATCATAACAGGCTTCAACATATACATTTGTATATATTACCAAGTGGTTTCATGTACAACCCACACAAGTATCATGCTAAATGAAGCTCTGTTGCTTGGATATCACTAGATCCTGATGTCAGCGTAATATAAAAGTACATAACGACTGATGTGTAATTTAGCATAATTTACTAGCTAGCCGCTAGCTGCTAACTGCCGCCTCGTTAATATAAATCCAGTACCATGCTCTCATGAACGCGCGGTGCTGTTACGTGTACGCAAATTCACGTGCTTAATGTGAACGAGCCTTTTGGGCGGCGTGGTTAAAGTTGCGCATGCTCTATGAGTGCACATACGGGTACTTCTCAGGCATGCTGGGTAATCTGTGAGGTTTCGCTCTCTCAAAAGTTGGGCCATTTTGTCATCATGCGCTATTGAGCAACTCTCATGAGAGGCTTCTCAATACTCAAATTTCCCCTCCTCGACTCCCCTCCTCGGTTCCCCTCCTCGAGACTTAGACCCGCCCACAGGAGATGCGAGCGGAGGACCGAGGAGGGGAACCGAGGAGAGAGGAGGGGAAGCAGCAGACGTTTAAAGAAATGAGAACTCCTCTCCTCTGAGCGGTCATTTTAAAGAGACGTCCGTTCATTATTACGTGGCAACAGCTGCATCAGCTGTCGAGTGTTTTGTCATAGCGCTGTATCTCTGTTAGATCAGCTGAACATTGTTCCCCCACATATTTACTTTGAATTCATTGAGAGTGCGGTATAATGAGACAATAACAGGCTACAGATGCGACACACACACACAAATATATTTATATAAATATATACAATTTAAAGTATGAGAGCACTCTCATAATAACGAAACACAATCAGAGACTGGATATATCCCCCCCCCTCTCTGGTCGCTGAAATGGGGAATTGAAATTACGGGCCAAAAGTTGTATTTACAAATATTAACTTGTAATAATAATAAGCCACTTACAATTTTACGTGAGATCAGGGAGCAGATATAAGATGGAAGTCTCCCTAACATACAAAGCCATGTTAGGGAAACTTCCATCTTCCATCTGCTCCCTGATCTCACGGTGAATTGTAAGTGGCTGCTGCCTGAGATCGCATGCTGTGGTTTTATTAAATGTGCCAACTGCTAGGACTGTCTTAGGGACAACAGCTTTTAGATGCGCAGCTCCTCTGTCTTGGAATAGTCTGCAAATTAAATGGAAACTGAGCAATCTGGTGCCACTAAATGTTTTTAAAGCTCGGTTGGATGCGACTCAATCGGAAGCTATTGGTACCTGCTCATGTGGATAATTATGTAAATGATGCTGTTTGATGTCCTTTTGTTGTTCTGTTTATGTTTTTATGTTTCATGTTGAACTACTTGAGCAGGTCTGCCTTGAAAAAGAGATCAATGATCTCAATGGGATTTATCTGTATAAATAAAGGTTTGAAATTAAATTAAATTAAAAGTAAGCAGAGGACACCAAACCAACTGTGACCCGTCTATCCGCCGCATCTACGCACTGTACAACACACACCTACATACTGTACCACACACACACACATACACACTGCCTACCACACACACTTACAGCTCCTAAAGCATAATCAGGCTACAGCCGTTGTGTATTTTATTATGTGAAGCACTAAATGGTCTTAGAAAAAGATCGACTCTTTGTACTACAGCAAATAAAGAGAGTAATGTAGGCCTGTTATACTGAGTGATATATATTATACACACTGCTCTGCTTTCTGCACGGACCTCACAGCTGTTCTCACTGTAAACATCGCGACGCGATGAAAGCAGTTTCTAAAATAATATCCAGAGGATGCATGCAGAGCTGTCATTGGCTGAGATAAGTCCGGCCCTGCGTCACGCCTCCACCGTTCCCGGAAATGCATCCGTGGAGGAGCCGTGGAGGAACCATCAGTGTATCCTCGGTTAGAGCTCCTCCAGAGAGCCTCCTCGACGCTCGATGCTCGGTCCTCGAAGTGCATTTAGAGAAATGAGACGTCCTTCAAAATGGCGCGCTGAAATTCATTTCCGGGTCACTACCGGAGGACCGAGGACCGAGGAGTCGAGGAGGGGACATTTGAGTATTGAGAAGCCTTTATAGGAATTAATGAGGCCCCGCCTCCCACGCTGTATCCAGTTCTTATTATACATCCATGGCCGTGAGGCTGCAGCGTCGGAGGTTGCTTCTCAGGTCGGCTATTTTAATTTCCTCGCTCCTCGGTCCTCGGTCTCACCGGAACTTGATTTGCCTGCGCCATCTTGAGTACCGTCCCATGGCTCTTATTTCTGCCGCAGGACCGAGGATCGAGGATCGAGGAGCGATCGGAGGAGCGATAACCGAGGAACCACCAGACCATCCTCCGATGAAATCATCAGATACTCACCCCGCCCCCTTACTGTGTATCGCTCACTGATTGGACGAGGCAGTGCATGCACTGATCTGATGCTTCTTGACATGAGAGCAGAGTGAAGAAAATACATGAACCTCACGGGAGTCACTCCTCAGTTTATACCGTGTTTTGTTTCAATTAATGTTTCATTTAGTTACAAATATGTGGTATATCTGAACAACAAAGGGGTCAAAAATCATTTTATTCATTTTCTGGAAACATTTTCATGATCGCTTTTTTCGTTTTACATTTTCATTTATTGTCAGTCAGTCATTAAGTGCTATTAAAATGTTAATTTACTACATATCCAAACAAACAAACAAAGTGTGCACTCTAATCAATATTAATCTAACTATTGTTCGTTTATACATTTTAAGAATGGCGTTTATCTTTTTTGAGAATTAGTTCTTATTTTTATTTTATTTATTGGGGTCTACAACAGATGATACAAATGTTTGTGTCAGTAAATGTGCACTAACAGAGGCGGGGGGGGGGGGGGGGGGGGGGGGGGGGGGGGGGTGTGTGGAAATAACGGGGACAGAGCTGCTGTCAGACGATCAGCTGTGCAGCGTCATCACAAACTGACTTCGCTTCACGTGACGCTCCGGAGGAAAGGACGTCCCATTGCTCTTAAAACTCATTTCCCTGCTTCTCGTGGTTTCCTTGCGTCCCTCCATGCTTCCCTAGTGGGAGGGACTAAACGCAGGGATACGACGCAAGTGAGGGAAGCAAGGATTTAATTGAATCGACCTGAGAAGCAGCCGGAGACTGCACTCTCAGGACCGCACTCCCACAACCCTAGTTTTTCGTGACACTGCCACCTAGCGAGTAGCTTCCGGATAGCAGGTCTCTTCCCTCCCTTCAATCTAACCCTTCCCTTCCCCCCATCCTAACCCTAACCACTCCCTACCTTTTTACCTAATCTTCCTTCCTTCCTCCCTCCCAAACCTAAACCCCAAAACCTCAATGTTTCAATGTTGATATGACGTAATTTAAATTAAATACAGGGTTTTAATTTAAAGCAGTTTTATTCTGAAAAACCCGGAAGTTCACACTAACTAACTTAATACTTTTATTCTGAAAATTCTTCATTTCCGGTTAGCATTAGCATGTGGCTAACGTTTTGAAAACCGTGAATTGAAGGTGAAATGACATGTGATGTTGTACACTAAACACACTGGGACACTCATTTATTGACGCTGAAATAACGTTTCATCAGAATTATATATATATGAATAATATAAGATATAATATGTTACTTTATATGTACATGCTATGGTAGTAGCCTACGGCGTAGTGTCAAAACAACTAGGGTCGTGGGAGTGCGGTCCTGAGAGTGCGGCCTCCGACGCTGCAGCTTCATACCATTGAATTGAAGCCGGAGGAAACAAAGTTAATCGAAGTGGAAAAGAAGGTACGTTTTGTTTTGATACAAAGAGCGTCATATTTACCCAGCTAGCGTTAGCTTGTTTGGTAAAAGAGTTTGCAAGTCAAGAGACAGCACTGTGCACCTAAATGTAACTCTTGACATCATATAGATAGATATATTATAGGTGCAGAGAAGAGTTGGTTTATTGTGCTTCAATGTAAATCCTAATGTGAGAGTTAAAGGACGGTCAACAATATAATGTACCTTGGTCAGTTTGGATTTATCGTGGCATTTATTCTTAATTAAAGTGAATTTATTTTATTTCAGTCACTCATTTGTGTATGCAGGTGTGGGACATTCCAAAAGTGAGCACTCCACGAATGGACGACAGTTTGCTGGGGAAAATAAAACATTGTCAACATATTATTTTGTGCCACAAGAAGCAGAATGTTTTAACAGTACAGTAGTTTGAATATATTTGTTGTTTACCTTTATCAGACCTCTCAGGCACCCACAACCAGCGTCTGATCGGGTAAGACTAATTAAACATGTAATTATACCATGTAGGTTTGAATTTGTGAACATGAAATCAATAAATACCTTTGTGTGCTAATGACACTGTCATTAAATCAACTGCACTTATTTCCTGGGTAAAACTAGGATGCAGCACCAACGCCATTCCAGGAAGAGGTCCAGTCTGCCCCGGGTCAGAACCACTTCTATAGGTAAACGATGTTGACAGTTGCATCGTGACACAGTTGTTTGCTGTGTATCTTTATTTTACATTTGTTTTGTTTGTATAGCCTCCAATCACAGTGGGTAACATTGCCAGGAAGCAGAACAATTATACTTTCATACATTTCCAAATGACACCCTCAACATCTGACATCTTAGTGAAGACAATACAAAAAACACCCAAAAATACTTTTCAAAGATCAGATATTTTTTGTTGCATCCATTTCAAATGTTTACAAGGATTGTGCAGGAGTATGACAAAGTGCTGTTGTCAGTTTAGAACCCAATGTATTGAGAAAACAGGAAGAGGATCGACATCCTTTTGTAAATATGACTGTCATGCATATATTATGTATTTGAAAGTCATTATTCAACTGTCTTCTCACTGCAGCAACTACACAACTGTGTGTGCACTTCTCATTATTGATAGCCAGTCTGAGCCAGAAGACAAAATGGAGCATTTATTGTTACTATTACCACTTAATTGTTCTATCTATACTGTAAATCTTATTACTAGCTTCATCATTTAATATTACAATACATCACTTTGTCTTTCCCAGCACAGAATACCTGACTGCGGAGGACATTGTTGCAGAACTCTCTGCAAAAAGAACAAATACATCTTGCAGCCGGTTCAATATGAATAGAGCCAGTGTGTGGGATGGAGCAACCGCGGCTTCAAAGGTGCCTCATTCGACCCCTCATGAGACGTCAGTTAAGTTCACTGAGGATGAGGGACACACTGAGGATGAGGGACACACTGAGGATGAGGGACACACTGAGGATGAGGGACACACTGATGATGAGGGACACACTGAGGATGAGGGACACACTGAGGATGAGGGACACACTGATGATGAGGGACACACTGAGGATGAGGGACACACTGATGATGAGGGACACACTGAGGATGAGGGACACACTGAGGATGAGGGACACACTGATGATGAGGGACACACTGATGATGAGGGGACACACTGAGGATGAGGGACACACTGAGGATGAGGGACACACTGAGGATGAGGGACACACTGAGGATGAGGGACACACTGAGGATGAGGGACACACTGAGGATGAGGGACACACTGAGGATGAGGGACACACTGAGGATGAGGGACACACTGAGGATGAGGGACACACTGAGGATGAGGGACACACTGATGATGAGGGACACACTGATGATGAGGGACACACTGAGGATGGAGGGGACACTGGTGGTCCCAAGCGTGAGTTCCTGACTCTCCTTATGGAACGCCTGAGAATAAAGAAAGCATCACGTCAGCAACTGTTTGTGCCCCATGTGACTTTCCAGCCGCTCACTGTCTCAACATCTGATTCTAAATGTATAATGTTCTCTATAAAGATACAACTAATACACAATTATGAATGTATAATATAAGCTGTTTTGTGTATTTAATCATGCGTTGGTCTACAATTTAATGATGGCTTCTACATATTTCACATAGACAGTCCTTCATGCTGATAACTAGTGTATGCATCTGCCAATTAGCATTCTAAACAGAGCAGTGTGTTGAATCCTTATTTCTTGCATTTGAAACAGATACAATACAAAAAAGTGAACTTACTGTTGAGTTCGACTTCTGCCACAAACTGTACATGTTTGCCACAGGAGCCATAGAACACTTGAACTGTCCCCAGACATTGGCCACAGAAAGCACACAACATGGCGGCCTGAAAAGACATACATTGATGTAGTGAATCCATTTAATCAAGTTAATCAAAAACACATGGTCTAAATAGTGGTTAGCTAAATAAATAGAAAGATACATCATGTTCACCGTTGAATCTGTGTTCTCTCTCTCCTTGAATGTCTTCTCTATATTGTTCTTGAGCATGTCTAATGCACACTACTCTCCTGTCATTACTTTGTCCCTCTTCACATGTTGTCACTTCTCTCTCTTTTGCTCTCCTCCTCTCTACCTCTCCCTCATCTTCCCTCCTCCTCCTCCTCTTCTCTCTCTCTCTCTCTCTCTGTCTCTCTCCTCCTCTCTCTCTCTCCTCTCTCTTTTCATCTCTTCCTCTCTCTCTTCTCTCATCTCATCTCTCTTCTCTCTCTCTCTCTCTCTCTCTCTCTCTCTCTCTCTCTCTCTCTCTCTCTCTCTCTCTCTCTCTCTCTCTCTCTCTCTCTCAATTCAATAGCTTTATTAGCATTACCATAGTTACAGGCAATTGCTAAAGCTCTGTATAGTTGCAACATCTATACACAAATACATACATATATAAACAAACTGCTAATAATTCAAATGTCCTTTTTCCGCGGTGCTCACTATGGCCCGTGTTATTTGCCTGCACTTGATTTGTCATCTCTTTTAACAATGTTCTTCCCTCACTGTCTTCTCTTCACGTGAAGCTCTCCTCCCTCAGCTGGTGTAGGAGCTAGGCACGCTAACGCTAGCTATATCAATATGACACTCTATGTATAAAAACAAAACTTACCTTCTTATATCTTTCTCCACTTAAACGAACTTTCTTTCCTCCGATTTCCATCACTCTTGTTCGTTTTCTCTTTTTTTTGGATTGGCACGTGCTCTGGACTTTGCATATCGTTTTGGTTTTTGCAGCGTTTTTTTGTTGCGTTTGTTTTCTGGATTTGTTTGTTTTTCATTTCATTATTTGCAGCTTGTGTGCGTTTTGGGCCGTTGTGCAGCGTTTGCACCTGCCGGCCACCGTAGAGAAGTGATAGAAGGCTATTTATTTACTTTTTTACCCTAAATATTAGATTTTCTGTGACACATTTGTGGGAATATTGGGTTATAACTCTCAAAAAATATAGAGCATATGATAGCTGGGATGGTAGACGAATTAAAATATGTAGCTAGAAAATACTATTTTCCTTATGGGGTCCTATTCTGCTTTTTAGGGGGTTTCCCTTTCCTTTTCCTTTAAATAAAATGTAAATAATAGTCTTAATGAAGTGTAGAAATAGAAGTAAAATACCTGCATTCATAACATTACTTAAATAAAGTGCTGCTGTGACGAAAAATGCAACAAATACAAAATATATCTTATCTTATCTTAAAAGTACAAGGATCAAAAAGTACTTTTCAGAATAAAACAACAACATTGTACTTAAATACAGTAAAGAGTCAACGTAATACATGCAACACAAGGTAAATACGATATTTTAAAACCTTATAACAGCCAGCATTATATTATTTTGTTAGTCTTAATTTTAAAAAAATACTACGTATTTATTAGCTATCAACGCGTTAAACTCACCTTGTTGACACGATGGTTCACTTTTAAAACACAACGATTATCTTAATACAACGGCTCCATGTGACACAAAGTACAAGATCTAAAATGTTTTCATGAAAGGAGTTAAATCAGCATTTCTTACCGGTACGAATTACAACATTTATGAGATTAAATCCAATTTTCGAGCCGTTGTTTGTTGTGAGAGGAAAATAGAGTGGGAAAAGCGTTGGACTGCTGAAGTCTCGCGAGAACTGTATATCTCCCAGCTGTAGTACTCACGCAGCACCACAAGATGTCGCGAGAAAGATGAACACATTTCAATAACAGTTCAATAATGTGCTTGTTATTAACTGTGCTGAGAATGAACAGTATACAGAGGTGGTAGAAGTACTCAGATCTGTTACTTCTACTCCCCTACATGTATTTAATACCTTTAGTTACTTCACAGATGTGGATGAATGATGTGAAATATAATCAAGTGTTAAATCAGACTTTAGTTCCACCTGGAGTAAATCCACCAGCTACCCTGCAGTAATACAAAGTCATTCAAACTAGCTGCACCTTCACCAGCTTTGAGAACACTTTCATGATCAATCATTATAAAACATATCATATATATTATTCTGAAATGGACCAATCTGCACAACGACTACTTTTACTGTCGCTCAGGGGCGGACTGGGACTAAAATTCAGCCCTGGAAACTGACCCAGTCCGGCCACATGAAATGTCAACGGGGGGGCATCAGAAAAAAAAATAGAGTAGCCTACTATTAGTTATTAGAAATCAGCTGTTTATTAGGCTGCATTTATGCAGTTCAAGGGATAATTGTCACCCACCTCTTGCTCTTGCCCTCAGTGGCGGCGCCAGGGTATGGCTGGGGTAGGCTACAGCCATACCAAGAAATGGCTTTGCCCCACCTTAGCCCCACCATGAAAAATGATGTTAAAGTAAGCATGTTGAGAACACGGATTGCGAAAATATACTGGACACGACCAGTATATTTCTGTCCACAACACACAAACTGATCCTGCTGTAACAACAAAGTGCACGTTACTGATGTAATATGGTTGAGACCATTCGGGCTAGAAGAGGGGTGCAAGGAATAGTCTAAGTAGTGGGTAGTAGTCATAGCCGTGGGAACGTTTCAAATGGGGGGTGCTGTGGGGGTGACACTAGGGCTGGTTCTGACCAATGTGCTGCCCTATAGGAAAGATTCTAGCAGGCAATGAAAAACCTCTACAAAAGACCACTACACTACAAACAGAGAAACGTATTGACATGGTGGACAGCTTATATAAAAAGGCTTCAAATGTATTTAGTACTGTGTGAATGTTTGATTTGGGGGGTGGACGTCACATCCTCTAGGGGGGTGCCCCCCTGGAATGATTTTTTTAACATTTTATAGTAAAATGCTTCAATCTGGTGCACTTTGAGCGCCCACTTACTAGAGACTAGATCTAGGGGGTACAACTCTAAACACCCATATGAAAAAGATCGGTTTACTTTTTAATAATCAAATAAGTATGTGAACATAACCAATAACCCACAGCCAATAACAAATACATGTAACTTATTTTATTTTTGTTGTTCATTCATATCTTATTTTACCTCGTTAACATTTATTTATTCATGCATCTTTATTAATCTCCAGTTTTAAATGATAGTTTTGGTTGCTGACTATAGTATACATTGGAATGATTTCAAACCTGTTTTTATTTATCCTAATAATTATAAAGGAGTGCCTTGAGCTACACCTCCCTTTTTGGTCCCATCTGCCAAATATTGAAACATAACCCAATAACCTACATAGATGTATTGTTTTATTCCGGGATGGTGACACTTTAGAAGATCCAATACTGGACGAATACGTAGATTATATTTCTCCACCATGTCAATACGTTTCTCTTTTTGTAGTGGATTGGTCTTTTGTAGAGGTTTTTCATTGCCAGCTGACCCGAGGAAAAAAAGCGTCTTCATATTTCCTTTTTTTGTGTGATTTCCTTCCTATTTAGGGTTAAAAAAACATCTTGCAATTTAGACTTTTTTTATTTTATTTTATTTTAAAATGTTACAGTATGTCCACTGTAGAGGACGTCGGGACCATATTAGTTTGAAAAGACAGCCAACATTAACAGATGGACTATGTAACGTATTATGGTTATAAAGTGATATTAATACAATAATACATTCACCTTTATTTAAAACATGAATAAGTAATTGATCTGAACATTGCTGTTTATTTGGTCAATACAAAACTAGCTTGTTTTTTGGTGAATCTTTCCAGATCTTCAAAGACTTTGTAGTCGATGTAGTGAAAGTACCTCATTCACTCCAGTCAGCACGGGCTGTAGGGTCATCTTGACTAGTTTGATGGATGTGGTCTCCATTCTGACCTGCTCATAGAAACAAAGCTTGCATTCCTGAGGCAACTCTCATGTGTCATGGCTCCACTTAAAATAAAAACAACAATAAGACATACGTGCTACTCTTGGCCCACAGGGGGCCATGTCTTTCCAGCTCGTCCCTATCTGTCTCTATGTATCTATCTGTGCGCTCATGGAGCCTCCTGCATCTTCCCCCCCCTTCTTCTTCACTCTCTTCTATCCCAGGTGTGAAAGCTTTATCTC